CCTATCTGCCACAGTTTCCCCATCCCACTTGCCAAAGAAATTTCCTAGCTTCTTACTATTCTGCCTCAACGAAACTTCCAGCTACAGCCTCTCTAATTTTTCAGGGTCAAACTTCTGAAAAGACACGCCTCCACTCTGCCTGCGTCCTCTGCTTTCCACACACCAGCTCCCTGCAGTCAGGCTTCCATCACCATCATTCCCTGCAAACAGCTCAGGACAAAGTCACCAGCAACTGCCCTGGTGCTGAACCAAATGCACTTTGCAGTGCCTGTCTCACTGGATCACTCTTTTGACAGTACTCACCACTCCTTCCTTCTTGAAACTTCTGCTCTTGATTTCTGTGCTGTCCACATTCCTGGTTTTTCTCCAACCTTCCTAATTTCACATATTCCTTCTGCTACACCCCTCTGTTCTCTAGGGATCTATCTATCCTAGATGTTTTTCTCTTCCTACTTTACATTCTTTTCTTGGGCAAATCCACGCTATCTTCCTGTCCAGCCTACCATCTACTTCTCTCTGGCTTTACTGCTCAGTGTCCTAAATTGTTTCTGAGGGGAGAGGTTGTCGCCCCAAAATATGCCTGTGGGGCCTCAGAAGCCTGCCTAGCAGCACAAACAAAGCCGATTTGCCGACCGAGTAGAGGTGAAGGATGGATGAGTGTATGGGTCCCCCTGCTGGTGCTCCACGAGGCTCCAAGGTCGCTCATGTTCGGCGGCATCACATCCCTGTCTAGTGGGTTGTCTTTAGGAAAATATTCATGTTTCAGGTGTGCTTTCGAACGCGTAGCTTGTTCTCGTGGAATAGAATTGTGTGTTCTTGTTGGAGTAGCAATGCTGACCCCAACTGGGTGGCTTGAACAACACAAATTTATTGTCTTACAGTTCTGTAGGACTCACATTAACTAATTACATCTGCAATTACTCTATTTCCAAATGAAGTTGTTGCTGAACTCAAGGTGCCCATTTGCGGTGTTCTATTCAAGAATAAGACCTGGTTGTTGTCAGGTAGTTTTATTTACCCGCAACAAGTAAAGGAGATAGAAGATTCACACCCAAAGCTCTGTCTCCTGAAAGGGAGGCTGAGCCATTGCTTAGATACACTATTTGGTTAATTACATGTTGATTTCTTCTTTGCAGTTGGCTACACTTATCAGGTTGAGTTTCTGTCAAGCTCATCCTATTAACAGCTGCGTCTACAAAACACCATGCTACATTTTGAGGTTTAGTAAGAATAGTATTTACCCATGACCAGTATGGTTCAGTTGGTTGGAGCAGTGTCCAAAATGTTGTGGTTTGTTCCCCATTTTGGGAATGTATGATGCTTCCTTTCTCTCATTGATGTTTCTCATTCTCCCTTCCTTTTTCAATAAAAGCAGTGAGGAAAAAAAAAAGTCCTCGAGTGAGGATTTAAAAAAACAAAAAGAAAAGAAAAAAGAAAGAAAGAATAGCATTTAGTAAGAGCTGCCCAGACCCTGGGACCTTTGTCGTAATAAAGGTCACATTGTGAGGTACCAAAGGTTAGCACTTCAACATACCACTTTTGGGGGGACGCAGTTCAACTCATCATAACACCAAGTGATGCTAATGATGCTTAAAAACACCAATCTGATTACATTATTCTCCTTTGAAGCTTTTCAGTGGCTCTCCATTGCTCTCAAGGTAAATCCAAGCTCTTTGCTTGGCATTGATGGCTGATGAAAATCTGGTTCCTGCCACTTAACCCCTTAAACTTTCTTTACCATTCTTGCTCATACTGTTTATGGTGCCTCTCTGCCTAGAACGCCCTAGTGCTATGGATCCTTTAATGTTCCACCCATGTGTCACTGAACATTCTGTTATCAGTGCTCATCTCACATACCTGCTTCCTAAGGCACAGGGTTTATAATAGTGTTCAGTAAATTTTTGTTGAATGAATGTATGAAAACAATTCTTTTCAAGCCTTTTTTGTTTTTTAAAAGATTTTATTTATTTTTAGAGAGGAAGGGAGGGGGAAAGAGACGAAACATCAATGTGTGGTTGCCGCTCATACGCCCCCAACTGGGGACCTGGTCCCAAACCCAGGCACCTGTCCTGACTGGGAATCAAACCTGCGACCCTTTGGTTCACAGGCCGGCACTCAATCCACTGAGCCACACCAGCCAGGATCAAGCCTTTTTTTCCAATTCGATTTTAACTTTTTTTAAAATTCAAGGAAAACTTTAATTTTGATTTCCATGTATAAAAGATTTGCTGCTTGGAACAGGCTTCTATATTCCCGTCTTCTGACTTCTGCTCTGCCCCCTGTTGGTGGCCGTAATCGAAAAGGGAGAACTAAAGAACTATTTAAGGTCTTTCCGGAAACCAGGAGTGGGTGACTCATCTCATTTACATGCCCACAATGCATTGCACATAGGCTCTTTCCCACTTTAAAATGGCTAGATTATTCTTTTTCTTTCAACTTTTTTACCCACTAAACGTGAGAAACATGAGACTATGTTCATAGTGTTATCTGAAGTAAAGGCAGAAACTACTAGCTCTTTCGTGGAAATAGTTACCATTGCTGGTCTAGGAGTCTCAGTTCCTCGAGACCTGAGTGAGCGACAAGCACAGTTATACTCTGGTTTCTCTTCAGATCGTATAAATCTTTCGCCTTTTACTAAAGATTTCCGTGGAGAGGAACAATTCTGAGTTTTTACCCAATTTTTTGAGGCCTTGCACTTGCAGGGCTTATAAGTGTGTATAAAAGTAGACTTTCATGTGATATATCTTATATAGGATATTCCTAGTTGCATAGCAGCTTTTCCAGGCGTTTGCCAGGAAATTTAACGTATTTTTCAGTAAAGCGGGTGCAATCGTCGTTAAAGCAAGGTTTATAGCTGTTTAAAAAAGATTTTTTCCTTGGTTGAAGTTACTCATTGTGGTTCTTTCTCACACCCGGAACTTCATTTGAAAGAAGCGAGTTATCCTCTTCCCCTTCCCACCCGATTACAAAAGCCGTCGCAGCCCAACAAATAAAGCAGGTTGCTCCACTGGGTAAATAGACGCAGGAGTGGATTCGGTGTTTCACCTATTAGTGTTCCAAGGTTCTTTGTCGTGGGCACTGTTTTATTCTTGTCTTTGGAAAATATTCATGTTTCAGGTGTGTGCGTACAGCTTATTCTCTCGCGATAGCACTGTGCGTTTTTGTTGGAGTGGTAATGCTTGACCCCGATGGAGAACGGAGAGACTAGCGCCCTCCTTTGGGGAGAAAGGGACCAGCTCCGAGAGAGGATCCAACTGCAGCTTTACCGAACAGCACCTACACAGTTGTAAAAGAAATTAAAGTATATTCACTTCATTTGTAAGTCTTCGAATTTATGTTCACAAGTTAAAAACCACCCAGCATGGCAAGCATTCACTTTAACTGCCTCCTGTGCCTAGAACAGGGCCTGGCACAGAGCAGTCGCCAAATAGACGTTTGCTATCTATGGAATATCCGGTTAACATTTTTTCTTTTTAGATTTACTTATTTGCTTTTTAGAGAGAGAGGAAGGGAGGGACAAAGAGAGGGAAAGAAACATTAATTTGTGGTTGCCTCTCACACGCCCCCAACTGAGGCCCAGGCCCACAACCCAGGCATGTGCCCTGACTGCATCGAACGAGCGACCTTTCGGTTTGCAGGCTGGGCTCAAACCACTGAGCCATGCCAGCCAGGACATAGTTAATGTTTGTTGAGGCCTTGAATGAAACTTTTAAAGTTCAAGAGTGGGTAACCTGCTTCCATTTTTTCAAGGCAGTACCTGAGCATCTCAGGCAAGGCCCACTTCTCTGGGGCTCTGTCACCAAGGCTTGTGCTTGTGTAACTCTGCTTTACAAACAAACAAACCAAAACTTTGTAAAAATTCAAATATAATTGCTTGCTATTTACTCATTTTTATAGAGAGAGAAGAGGGGAAAGCTAAAGGGAGGGGGACATCAATGTTTTCCCACCGGTTGCCTCTAGTATGCACCCTGACTTGGGATGGAACCCACAACCTAGGCATGTGCCCCAACTAGGAATCAAACCTGTGATCTTTCACTTTGCTGGACTGCATCCATCCAACTCAGCTACACGGGCCAGGACATGTCTTTAAAATAGGAAATCCATTTAGCTTTATGGAAATATATAACTATGTTTTGCTAAGTTTTCTCTCCTCCCTCAGCCAAGAGGAAAGCTGAGGCTCAAAATGAGTTTAGGTGAAGGCTGAGCCGCCTTAGACTGACAATATGAGGGCTGGTGACGCCCTCTTGTGGCGTCCTGGAGAATTATTGCCAGCTGCCTTCATTTTCTCTGACTTGAGGGCCAATTCCTTTAAAATACCTCTATTATTCATTCATGCGTGCCAGGCATTGTTCTCAATGTTTGGGTTATATCAGTAAAGGAAAAATATATAAATATATATTATACCTATATATCTCATCTTTACATATCTGTCTATCTATCCTTGCCCTAGTGGAGTTTACATTCAGGTGGAGACACAGACAGCAAATACATACATACATACATACATACATACATACATACATATATACTGTGGGGGGGGCGGGGTAAGGGGAGGATGGGGGTCCATAGTGTAGAGAGCGGTATAGTGTGGGGTGCAACTTAAAAAAAGAATAGTCCTCAATGAGAAGGTGACTTTGTGTAGAGTTGAGAGACAAGGGAGTTAGTCCTGCCGGTAGATATCGGCGGTGAGAGGTTCTAAGAACAGAACCTCGGTCACTGTTCAGCAGGAAAGGCAGCACAAGAGTCCTAAGACATGAGCTTGTTTGTCAAATTTAAGACACACACGACCAGTATGTCTAGAACCAGTGAAGGAGAAAAGAGAGAAGTGGGAGACAGTTCAGAGGTGATAGAAGACTAGATTACCTAGGGCCCTGCTCTTACTTGATATTCCTCCCCACTTCACACACAGAGAACAAATAAATAGCAAGACTTTATTGAAAGCTTCCCAGCCAGCAGCTCTCCCTCTCCCCCACGGGGGTGCCTGACCCACAGCTCCCCCCTAGGGCCAAGTGTGATTGCCCTGAGATGGACCTCAGGTTCCTCTGCAGGACTTTCTGTCACACAGCCTTGGCCTTCCCCGCTTGCCACAGAGGCTCTGTCACTCCTTTCCTTCCATATCTTCCTGGAAGTGAGTGATGTCGTCCAGCCGCTCCTGATCACTAAGGCCATAGCAAAAGTGCGTATTGCTGTGGAAGAGGCCGCTGAGGGATAACGCTGGAAACAGGGAGGGGAGCCTGAGTCTGGGCCTGCTGTACCTCAGCTCCAGGTCCCCTCACTCCCCACTCACCTCTGGTAACGCTGACTTTGTTGGCTGCCAAGATGTCCACCTGGACACTATCTATTTTCATGTACAAGTCCTCTGCGTTGCTCTGAGGACAGGAGAAAGGGGAACCCGGCTGAGGTGCCAGGGCAGTCTGGGTTTGGAGTTGGGCTTGAGCAGAGGGATGTTGCAAGCAGGAGCAGGAAAGGGGACAGAAAGACGCCAGGGGGAGCCCAAGCCAGGGCGGTCCTTCCCTGCAGCTGGCCACCAGGCTCAATCTGTGTGGGCACGTGTGGAGGAGGCACCATTCTGTCTGGGCCAACTGCTCTTCGTAGTGGGCGGGGCGGGGCAGGGCGGGGCAGGGCGGGGCAGGGCGGGTGCACTTACAAGGAAGAGCCTGTAGAGTTCCTCTCCCATGGACCTGCGCACGTGCTCCTCCACCACCGGGAACGTCTGCACGAAGTACTGTGACAGGCGGGCGGTGTGACTAGGTGCCCACGCCCGGTTCCCACCGCCCCGCGGGCCGCGCCTGCCGCCCGCGCACCTCCAGCGTGAGGCTGGCCTGCCGCTGGCTGTTGCTGTGGTCCGTGTTGCCCATGGCGGCCATTAGGCCGTGCACCACACGCAGGTGCAGCATCTCCTCGGCTAGGCTCGTGTTGCTGCGCGCCAGTACCCTGGGCGGGGGATTCGAGCTGCGGCGAGCCCTGGGGACTCTGGCGCCGCGGGCCAGCCCGCTCCCAGTCCCAGTGCTTGCTCCATCCACCCACTGCCTCCTGCCCACTTACCCGATGGCCTTGGCAGCTGCGGCCTGCTGCAGAAACACCGGCAGGTGGGGGGTGAGCTGGAGCCCTGCAGAGTCTGGTGGAGGGGCGTCCGTGAGGCAGGGGCCCCTCCCCCCACAGGGTGCCTTCTCCCCAAGTCTCAGCGGATCCCTACCGTTGAGGATCTTGGGCTGCAGTTTGCAGGTCTTCTTGACGGATGGCATCAGCAGATCGACAAGGCCCTTGAGCAGCGCTGCGCACACGTCGTAGTTGACCAGGTCCTTGATCAGCTCGATGGCTGCGGAAGGGCAGAGGCAATGGAGAAAGAAGCCCACAGCTCCAACACCCTCCACCCCACCAAAGGAGCAAAGAGGCCCGTGAAGCAAGTCGTTTCCCTTTACCCTCATTCTCTTCATCGACCGTTCCTGGCCTTTAATTGGCCAGCACTGCACAAGGTGTGGGTGGGGGGTGGGGGTCAGGCAGGAGACACACCTGGGTCCTGCCCTCTTGCAGCTCCTGGTTTTAGAGGAGGAGGACGAGCCTTCTGCACCCCCAACCAGCCATAGCTGGAGTAGGAAGGGTTGGGTGGTGAGCCCACCCATCAAGGAGGCTTAGAGGCTGTCAGGGCTGGAGGCTGCACTTCTGCGGGGCCGCCTTCAGCTTGGAGGAATCCGGGAGGATTCATGGAGGAGGGCAGGGCAGGGTTTTCAAAGGGAGACAAGGATGGGAAAGACGGGGTGAGAGGGAGAAAGAAAGCGGTGGGGAATGTATGGCAGAAAATGAGAAAGGGGTGGAAGCAAGGAACACAGCAGTTTAGAGAAACTTTATCTCCTGAAGAACCGTTACTGTGTCCTTCATTGCCTTGGCTGTGTGCTCATGGGGTTCCTTTGCAATGACACTATGACCATCATCCCATTTTACATGACAAGGAATGAGGCTCAGAGGGGTAAATCACTTTGATTAAGGTTCCACAGCTAGGAAGGGGTAGAAGCAAAAGGAAGAAAAGATTTGGTTGGGAGGAAGGAGACAGTTCAAATTTATTAGAGGCATTTTCTGTAGATATTTTCTAGTTCATTCCTTCCATCATTCACTCAGCCTGCAGAATGCCTGTTGTGTCAGGGGCACAGTATGGTAATGAGAGCTTAAAAGGGGTCAGTGGGCTGTGGGAGAGCCTGGGAAGATGGAGAGGACCGAATGTTTTTGTAAGGAGAGAGGAACCATAGAGAGGCAGAGCCAGGATGGGACAGGGTGAGGTGGTAATGCGATAGCACGCGATGGTACACAACCGCAGTAAATGTCACTCTAAACACATGCGCTTGCTACAAGGCGACAGGGCTTAAAAACGTGCTTTTCCCACTACGGGAGCCTAGTGGGTCCTATATCTCCACTTACTCCTGGGAAGACTGGACTTAGGAAAGTTCTTGTTTCCCTGAGTAGCTCATTTGCATACCAGAATGCAATGTTTACAAAGAACTACTCTATGACAAGTATTATCTGTTTGAAAAATTATCCCCTCCCTTCTATTTCCTTGTCAGGAGATTAAAAAAATTTTTTTTATTTTTTAGACAGAGGGGGAGGAAGGGAGAAAGAGGGAGAGCAACATAGATGTGAGAAAGAACCGAACCTGCAACCCAGCCAAACCTGCAGCCCAGGCACGTGTGCTGAGGGGAATTGAAACTGCAACCTTTCACTTTGCAAGATGACGCACAGCCAGCTGAGCCACACTAGTCAGAACTTCTTGTCAGGAGATTTTACCCAGTAAGAACATGTTTAGGATAATTCTCTACAATGGCAGAAGAGCTCTTTCTTTTCTTTTCTTTTTTCAAAAGCTTTTGTTGGTAGGTGCAAAGGCACCCCCAGCGTTGGGAGCCAGCTGGGATCTGGGAAGATGGGCACAGCAGGATCACACTGCTCTTGTTTCTCTTCAGAGAGAACAAGTCAGAACAAGAAGAAAAAAGAAGGAAAAAAACCCAAAGAGAGTGTAAGTAGCCTCTGGGACAACTTCAAATGACCCAACATTTGCATCACAGGGGTGTCAGAAGAAGAAGAGAAAGACATAGAAATTGGAAATCTATTAGAAAAAAATAATGAAAGAAGCCTTGGCTGGTGTGGCTCAGTGGATTGAGTGCCGGCCTGCAAGCTAAAGGGTAGTGGTTGAATGCCTGGTCAGGGCACACGCCTGGGTTGCAGGCCCGGTCCCTCGTTGTTTTTTTGCTTCCTTATGTTCCAAATCCTTGATTTGATTCTCAGCTTCATCTACTCTACTGTTTTTTTCCCCTGTAAATTGTCCTTTATTTCAATTAGTGTATTCTTCCTTTCTGACTAGATTGTTTTTATGCTGTTGAGGTCCTCACTAAGCTCCTTGAGCAGCACCCTTATAACCAGTGTTTTGAACTCTGTATGTAATAGATTGCTTATCTCCATTTTGTTTAGTTATTTTACTGGAGTTTTGATCTGTACTTTCATTTGTGCCATGTTTCTTTGTCTCCTCATTTCGGCAGCCTCCCTGTGTTTCTTTCTATGTATTAGGTAGAGTTTCTATGGCTTGCTCTCTTTGTAGCATGGCCTAATGTAGTAGGTGTCCTGTAGTGTCCAGTGGCACAGCCTCCCCTATCACCAACACTCGGTACTCAAGGTGTGCCCTTTGTGTTGGCCGAATATACCCTCCTCTTGTAGTTGAGCCTTGATTGCTGTTGGCAGGTCAATGGGAGGGATTTTTACGCAGGTCAGTCAGCTGCAAGGGCTGGCTATGACCATTGACCACCAGTCTCTACCCTCTGGGGAGGATCAGCTGTGCAGGGGCAGGGCGGTGGTGCTCTGAGGTGGTCTATAGCTGTCCACTGGGTGTTCAGGCTCTGGGGTCTCCTGGGTGGGGAAGGCCAAGGTCAGTCACCACCTGTGTTCTGCCTGGCGCCGCCCTGCATGAGCTATAAAGCAAACTACAGGTGGCTGCTACTTATGCTGGACTTGGAGATTCCCAGGTAAAGCTAAGTTGTGAATCTAGGCTGGCTGCTGCTGGTGTCAGGCCTGGGGCCACTTAGCAAGAGGTATGGGGCTCATGGCTCACTGACGCTGGCTATTGCTTGTTTGAGAGGATTTAGGAAGCTGTGAAACATGCCAAGACCAGCTATTCATATGGAAAAGCCACTGTTAACAGCTGTATGTTGGGTGGGACAGAGCCTCAGGAGATCTCCAGGATGGGGCAAATAGTGTTAGCCAAGTTGATGGAGTCTCAGATATGGCACCCACCTGCCAGCTCTGTGGCTCTGTGGGAGAATGGTTCAGATAAGGGACAATGGCCTCTGCTCATCTTTCTGTCTGGGAGAAAGCTGTCCCAAGCTCATGCCTTGATGCCAGACACTTCAGTTCTTCCTTGTATGCCGCTTGGTGACTTTCAAGCTGCTACCCTGATGCTGGAGCTTAGAGGGATCAAGTCAAGTAAGTCTGTGTGTGGGTTCTTTAGGGGAACTGCTTGGGACTCTAGAAGTTTCTTCCACTGACTCAATCCCTGCTGATTTTTGCAGCCAGAAGTTATGGGGACTTATTTTCCTGGCAATGGAACCCTGGGCTGGGAGGCCTGGTGTTGGATTGGGATTCCTCATTCCTGAGGTATCCCTCTCAAATTTTTATCAACCACACGTGGATGTGGGACTAGCCTGTTCTGAGTCTTCACTCCTCCTACCAGTCTGGATGGATGTGGTTTCTTTCATTCTGTAATTGTCAGACTCCCATTCAACTCAATTTCTGATGGTTCTGAGTGATGACTGTTCAATAGTTTAGTTGTAAATTTGATGTGATTGTGCAAGGAGGCGAGCTGTGTTTACCTACGCCTCCATCTTGATGAAAGTCTTGATTTAAAAAAAGATTTCATTTATTATTTGTTTTTAGAAAGAGGGTAATGGAGGGAGAAAGAGAGGGAGAGAAATGTTGATGTGCGAGACATAATCAATTGGTTGCCTCTTGCATGCCCCCACCTGAGGACCCAGCCTGCAACCCAGGCATGTGCTCTGACTGGGAATTGAACCAGTGAGCCTCTGGTGTGCAGGCTGGCACTCAATCCATTGAGCAACACAAGCCAGGGCCAGTCTTTCATTGTTAAGTGTAATGTTAGCTATAGATTTTTTTGTTTGTTCCTTTTCTTCTTGTTTAAAAAAATTTTTTTTTTGTAGATTTAAAAATCAAGTTGGGGAAGTTCTTCATTAGTCCTATTTTCCTGAGAGTTTTTTTTTTTTTTTTTAATTTAAATCACGAATGGCTGTTGAATTTTGTCAAATGCATTTTCTGCACTGATTGATATAATAGTGTGATTTTTTTCTTCTTTAGCCTATTAATTTGTTGGATTAAAGTGATTGATTTTTAGATATGGAACCAGCCTTGCAGTTTTTTTTTAAGGTTTATTTTATGAGGGGGAGAGGGAGAGGGAGGGAGGGAAGGAGAGCGGAGAGAGGGAGAGAGAATGAACGGGAGAGGGAGAGAGGAACATGGATGTGAGCTGCCTCTTGCATGCACCCCAACAGGGGATTGAGCCCAAAACCTGGGCATGTGCCCTGACTGGGAATCAAACCGATGACCATTCAGTTATGGGACAATGCTCCAACCAACTGAACCACATTGGCCAGGGCCAGCCTTGCATTCTTGGAATGAACCCTACTTGGTCATGGTGTATAATTCTTTTTTATATATTGCTGAATTCTATTCACTAATATTTTGTTAAGGATTTTTGAATCTATATTGATGATGGATATTGATCTGTATTGATTTTGATTTGTATTGATCTGTGTGGATTTTGATTTTCTTTTTTTTGTACTGCTGTTGTCTGGTTTTGTCTGGTTCATACTAGCTTCATAAACTTAATTAGAAAGTATTTCCTCGTCTTCTATTTTCTAGGAAGGATTATATAGAAATGTATTCTGTAAATGTCAATTAGGCCCTGTTGGTTGATGGTGTTGTTGAATTCTATATTCTTGCTGATTTTCCAGTTGGTCTATAAATTGTTGAGAGAGGGGTGTTGAGGGCTCCAACTGTAATTGTAGATCTCTCTTCAATTCTATCATTTTTGCTTCATGTATTTTATAGATCTCTTGGTCACTGCACATACGTTTAGGATTGTTATGTCTTCTTGGTGGATTTACTCTTTCATTATTATATAATGTCCCTCTCCATCTCTGGCAAATTTCTTTGCTCTGAAGTCTACTTTGTCTCATATTAATATTGCCACTCCTGCTTTTCTTTGATTAGTTTTTTTTTTGATATATCATTTCCTATTTTTTTACTTTCAACCTGTCTATATTGTTTTAT